CTCCTGCGGGCCCTGCTCCCCCCGGGGGCCGGGCAGGGCCTCGCACAGGTCCCGCTCCCGCCGAGGCTGCCTCGCCTCTTCTCCGGCTGCAGCCCGGGGTCCCTCAAGGCACCCGTGTCCCGCATTTACCTCATCAATGTGTGTGACTATCTAAAAGAAGGGGTGCCAAGAGGCTGGAGCCAGGCCCTGCTCAGCACTGCCCAGCAATGGGACAAGAGGCAACGAGCAGAAACCCTTAACCAGGAAGTTCCACAGAACATGAAGAAGAAATTCCCGTGAGGAGACTGAGCACAGGAACAGATTGTCCAGAGAAAGTGTGGAATCTTCCTCACTGGAGATATTCCAGAACTGCCTGGACACAATCCTGTGCCACTTGCTCTGGGATGACCTCTGTTGAGCAGGGAAGTTGGATCAGATGAGCCACTGTGGTCCTTTCCAGCCTGACCCATCCTGGGATTCTATGGGAGCAGGAGCCGGGTGGTATCATCAGCCCCTCATGCCAGCCTAGGGAGCTGTGGGACCATCAGGCTTGCCCTGCCCTGAAGGTGTTACAGGGAAGATGTTGCCAAGCAAGTGAAATTAGGCACAAGAAATACTCACTTGTTAGGTTTGCATAGTTTTGTTGCAACTTTGCTGCTTTCAGACAACTTGATGTGTGAAATACACAGTCCCCAATAAAACTGAACAAAGACATCAGAGCAAAACTACTAATATAAATGGGCCAGCTGAGCTGGATGTGTCTCACTGAGGAGGCACACCTCCCCCTAAAATGCACACACGTCTATGCCCTTCCCCAGCTGCGTTCTCAATAACTCACATTCTTCCTAACCACCTACCACACTCAAACCAACACTTCCTTTCCTCTCCCCTTTCTCTCCCTAGTGACAAGCACTGGTTCACTCCCCTTTTCCTCCTGCCCCACACTCATGAGGCCTAACATCATGCTAGCTACATCTTTGCCTATGTGACATAAGTGTACGTTCCTATGGCTGAAACAATGGCTGAAGCAAAACATTATTTTATCTCTCACAATCCACCCCCTTTATATTTATCACCTTTTTGCTGAAGTCCTTGGTTTGGTTATCTCTCTGGCCACTGTGGGCCAGTCCCTGTTTGTGAAGAGGTTATATTCAAATGTAACAATTATACTCCAGTCCTAGTATTTTGCAAACTTGTGCTGAGCTACGCTTATTCTAAAATTTTAAGTTTGCATTTCCTGCTGAGACCCATAGCTTTGCTCTAACCTGTGTAGAATTAGCTGTGGGTCTTCTTGTTTCTCTCTTTTTTGATCTTGCCTCCTTAGAACCATAATCTTCTGGGTTCCTATTCTTTGACTAGCATCATTTGTTTCAGGAGCTGGCAACCATTCCTCCTTTACCAGGTAAGGTAATCCAAACCATATATCATAATGAGATACTCCTATATCTTTCCTGGGACTGGTTCTAATGATGTAATGCTAAAGGTAAACACTTGGTCCATGGTAGTTTAGTTTCTATCATTAATTTAGTTATATGGATTTTAATTGTAGCAGTCATCCTTTCAGACTCTTTCAAACTCTGGGGATGCCAAGGAGTGTGGAAGTTCCAATTTATATCTAAAGCCACATGCAGAGTCTGTAAGATTTTTGAGGTGAAGTAAGTCCCTTTATCGGAGTCTATCACATTGGGCCAGAGTTTATCTGGCTCTACCACTTCAGCCTGCACCAGGAGTGGGTCACACCCCAGGAGCAGGATGACCCAAGGTGTGACTAGAGCTCTACAGCTTTTTGCCTGTCAGTCTGCACTCTGAGGAGGCACAAGAGGGAGGTCTTTTGCATGGGATAATAGACGATTTCTTGCTCTGAGGAATCTTGGGGGCAAAAGACAGAAAACGCGAGCGTGCAACAGCTGAAATAGGGAGGCGGTTCAAAGGGAGGGTACAAAGCTGATATCTCTGATTAGCTGATGCTAATCAGAGATATCCTGGGGAGGGTAAAAGGCAGGGTTCACAAAATCATTGTCCAATGTGGGGGAAGGAGGAAAATTCGGTCACATGGACTAATCAAACATCGAAGTTTAGGGGATTTCCAAAGTGGAATTCCAAGCATGTGGTGGGCCCAAGACAGAATTGACAGGAGACACAGGATAGATTGACAACAATAGTGGGGTGGGAGCATCTCATTTGCGCCAAACCATCAACTTAGGCAATACCAGAACATAGCATTAACAAGAAACACACTGCAACAGGAGTCTATGCTCTTGATTACTTCATCTCCAGGAATGGTCTGTTCGAACAGCATTTTAGCCACCTTAGAGGTGGTAGCTGTTGCAGTGGGAAAAGCCTCTACCCAGTGGGTAAGATGATCGACTACTCACGGTAGGAATCTCCATCGCTGTACCTTGGGGAGTTCAGTACAATCTACCTGTATATTCTGGAAAGGTCTAAGAGCCAAGGTCCTTCCCCTACTACAGGTTTTTCTCATCACTTTCTTATTTATCTTTTCACAAATTAAGCATTGTTCAGTCACTTGTTTAGCTACTGTGTAAACTCCCACACAGCAATAAGTTCTTAAAAATTGATCACAATAGTGCTTGAGTTCTCCAGTGTGTTCCTTGGTGCAACTTAATTAATATTTCTCTAGTAATGGCTTTATTCAATATTTGTCTCCCATCTGGAAACAGCCACCATACTTCTTGAGTATTTACACCTTCCATTTTCTGTATGAATTCCTCTTCCACCTTAGTAAACAGTGTGATTTTTTTATTCTTTTTTTTCACTTTGCACCTAGTTATTAAAGCAAGCATTTTGGTTTATTTTTCCATGGCAGCTTCCTTAGCTAGTTCATCAGCCAAGTAATTTCCCCTTATTTCCATGGTCCCTCCTTTCTGATGTCCCATTACATGAACTACAACAATCTCCTCTGGCGAGTCAAGAGCTTCCAGAACCTCTAAGACTAGCTGCTCATGTAGTAACTCCTTTGCTCTAGAGAAAATTAATCCATGCTCTTTCCAGATTTTCCCAAAATTTTTACTTAGTTCACCACAGGGAAAAGGAATCCTTCTCCTTTAACTCCAATTATTTTGGTCTGTTCTGTTCCTGCTTCACATCCTTGTGGGATTTTCATTATACTCAATCTCTCAGCCCCCAAATCTACCATAAATATGTATTCTTCTTGTGGTCCTAATTTTAAATTTATCAAGAGCTTTTCATAGTATTTGGACCCCAGGAAGTAGAGCCCCTGACATTTTTAATGCTTGGAGTAATTTTATGACTCCATCCTTTGGAAAACTAACTTTCTTCTGCAACATGGGACACTATTTTTTAAAGTGTCCTGTGGAAAATAAAATTCTAAAGTTATGAACTGTTAAATTAATCACTGTTGATATTTGTTTGATTGGTTGTTGGAGTTTTTAATGCCTTTACCCCTGGTTGCTTTCTCCCTGCTTTACCCCTGGTTACTTTTCCCCTACATTGTATTCCCTTCTAATCAGGTATTGCCTGCACTGCTCCCCAAAACGGTGCCCGAGGCTGTATGCACACAAGGTTGGACTGAGTGCTGCTGGAAGACAAAAACCCCTAACGACAACGAGCCAACAGGAAAATAAAGGACCAAAAGGACATATCCCGGCAAACTAAGAAGGAAGACCATCTTCCTACACCACCTGAGCCTGCTTAAAAGTGGTTGCCATGATCTCAAGAGGACTGGAACAGAGTGACCCCCCTGGACTACGAGCTGGTAAAGCAGTCTTCCTAGGGACTCCTGTGAGGAAGGAAGGCCCAGCTCTGCCCTAGTGACAGAGCTGCACGGATCCTCCTCCTCTGTCCAGTGGGAGCAGTGGTGGTGTGCACGGCCCCTCGGACCCCCACCCCAGAGATGTGTCATTCAATAAAGGCCTTTCTAAAAAGAGCTGGTCTCCTGGCCTGTTCATAGCATGTCTCACTTTCCCACAATGGAAGCACTTTTTGGGACCAGTCTTTGCTGCAGCTAACTCTCATCCTCTTTCTCAAGGTGTCATTAAATTGCTACGTCCTCTTTTCTGCACAACTCACCTTTCTCTGTCCACTAATCTTCCTCTCCCTCTCCTCATCCTCAGGCTGTCGTTTGACAACTTGGTCTACCACTGCCACTATTAACCTAGCTTTACTTTTCTGCTTTTCATCATCTCTCCTAATATACACCCTCTGGGTGTCCAGTAGCAACTCGTTCAATCCTCTATCATGCTAATCCTCCACATCCTCTTACTTCTTTCTATCAGGCCAGGCATTAGTGACAAAATTAATCTTTAACATTTCCTGACCAATATCACTCTCAGGATTAACTCCTGCAT